CTGCCAGCCGGTCTATGGTGTCGTACGAGACTATTGAGAAGGAAGAAGTCACTCTGGAGGCCGAGGGTCAGCAGTTCGTTGAGCACGGCAGCCACGAGGCTCGCGTCTTCGAGGCCCTCCGTCAAGCGGTTGATGGTCTGAGCGTGGTCGATCTTGAGAAGGCCATCGGCGACAAGGCCGTGACCAAGAATGGACAAGGCAAGGCCTTCAAGGAGAAGTGGATTTCCAAGAGCAAGGACGGCAAGCTGGTTGCCACCGTAGGTTGCCCGTCATGCATTCAAGTGACAAGGATACCCAGCTAATGGTGCCCGAACAGGCCGACTCGATTCAGGATGTCACGCGGGAGCAGCTGAAGCAGATCCAGGACACGAAAACGCACGACGCCAAAATTGTCACGGAGCTCAAGAAGCGCAAGCTCGTCAAGACGCAAAAGGTCATCAGCTTCAAGATCACCAAGGGCGCCGAGTTCGCGCTCGAGATCAAGAAGGAGGAGACGGACCTGACGGCCGACATGATCGCGTCCGGCGCTTGGAAGACGGCCGACTTCAAGCCTTACAACTTCAAGGCCCTCGGCGCGGACCAAAACTCGGGCGCCCTGCACCCGTTGAATAAGGTCCGCCACGAGTTCCGCCAGATTTTCTTCGAGATGGGCTTCGAGGAGATGCCGACCAACAAGTACGTCGAGTCGGGCTTCTGGAACTTTGACGCCCTCTTCGTGCCCCAGCAGCACCCGGCCCGCGATCTCCAGGATACTTTCTACATCTCAGACCCCAAGGTCGCCGGCCGACCTGGTCCTGAATCGGAGGACGACAAGAAGGACTACGAGACGTACTGGGAGAACGTCAAGCAGGTGCACCAGGATGGCAAGTACGGTTCAATAGGGTACCGTTACCCCTGGGAGGCGGATGAGTCACTCAAGCTCGTCCTCCGCACACACACGACCTCTGTGTCGACAGCGATGCTGCACAAGCTGGCGGGCCTGAAGGGTCCCGACGGGCGCCCGCCCCCAGCGCGCTACTTCTCCATTGATCGGGTGTTCCGTAACGAGAGCGTCGACGCGACACATCTGGCCGAGTTCCATCAGGTCGAGGGTGTCATTGCTGACTACGGCCTGACGCTGGGTGGTCTCATGGAGTTCATGGAGATCTTCTTCAACAAGATGGGCATTACGGACCTCAAGTTCAAGCCCGCGTACAACCCGTACACGGAGCCGAGCATGGAAATCTTCAGCTTCCACAAGGGCCTCAACAAGCTCGTCGAGATTGGCAACAGTGGCATGTTCCGACCGGAGATGCTCGAGTCGATGGGTCTGCCAAAGGATATGCGGGTGTACGGCTGGGGCCTGAGTCTGGAGAGGCCGACGATGATCAAGTACGGCATCTCGAACATTCGCGAGCTGCTGGGCCACAAGGTCGATCTCAACTTCATCGAGAGGAACGCCGCGGTCCGCCTGGACAAGAACTAGAGAGGTGTGTAGATGAAGACGTGACGATTGTATGAGGAGCGATATGAGGCACGGCGGGCAAAAAAAATACCAAGAACATTAGACAAGTCGCTGCGATCGGTGTGCTCGTGATGCTTCACCCCAGATCGCGATCTGCATCATGGAGGTGATCCATTGACCAATGGCAGCACCAAGAATTCAACGGATGCGATACTGGGCAGGGTGCTCGATGGAGGGCAGCTGCCGAACTGCGGCAGTGCAGCAGCTTGTCTCCGAGATAGAGCAGGCTGACCGCATTTCATGTGACTCGATGCA